CGCTTTCTTTTCTTTCTAATATATGTGAAAGAAAAACACATGTCTTTCTTTTTTCTCCCATTTTAAATTTTTTATGTTTGAATCGTTGTGCTTCATTAATTGAAAAAATGGATAATAGTGAATAAAAATAGGATCCCGTTGAAACAAAGCTATTCAATCAATTGCTTATTGTACTGACACGTCGGAAAATAAAACATAGAGCAGAAGAAATAACACGTTGGATTGAAACAAGCAAGCAATATCATTTATTTGGGTCACGTGAATCAAAGCGTTTTCTGGGAGGATCCTCCAAGGTGCAGCAGAATTTAGATAGACGATTTCCACTTCAGCTGCCACTCTCCCTCTATGGCCTCGGCTTCAAGCATCCTACTTCTTCACCATTCTCTGTTTCTCTGGTGGGCTCTTTCAGCCTATCAGTCACTCTCAGTTCAGGTATGAGTTTTCTCAAACCAGGCTAAGCTATCTCTTTGTTTATTTACATTTGTGCACGAAACAATTCTTATGGTATTTTCCCCATTTCTACTTTAGAATCTGCCCTTTTCTCTGAGTGAAGCTATTGTTGATGCTGTTATTTGCCTAATTTGATTTTGGGTTTTGGAATTTGGGAAAGTCGAAGGGAAGGAGAGGTTGTACTAGTTTGAATTTCAAGACCTAATAATAATAATATAAATATATCGTGGGAGTTTGATTAGAGTACTAAATATCTAATGTATGAGCATGATCATGCTTTAAAAAATTAAAAGTCATCATGTAAGTTGTGAAGACTTGATCAAACAAGCATCAGCATGTCTTTTTCTGGCTCCCATATGGTATTAATTTATAACATACTTGATTTAAAATACTTACCAAATTGCTTAAAACAAATGTAGATTCGATTTCAGAGGCCGGACCATTATCCTGTGCTTTTGTTTCGTCAACTGTTTGCCCCTTGTTTGGATCAGTTTAATTAATGATTCACTGTCTGCTCACATTAACATAGTCTAGAAAAACAGATTGATTGTTGGACTCGTTCCATTTGAGTGATTTGCATATGAAAAGATAAAAAGAATGCATGATTACATTCTGCACTTTCCTAGTTTCTAAAGATGTTTGGTGATGATATTTCCTTTCTCAGAATATTAGTCTTCTAAATTGGAGGGCAAAATGTCTCAGAATTTATTCTTCTTGCAAGGAGGTAATTTTTATATTACAAGAATTGAGGTAGCTAAGATATACAATCAGAGTTGACCTTGAGAACCAATATATAGAAACTAGGAGAATGAACAAGATTGTCTAAAACTTTTCCTTCTGCCATAAACAAAGCAGTAACCTTCCACCCATTGTCACCTTAATTTGATGAGCACCCAAAGGTACTATCCCACACCTGATCATGAAACATATTTTCCTTATTCTTCTTCTTCTGACTTGCCGACAACCCAATATTGGACATTACAGATCATCTATATGCTGCTTTGAATCGGAAAGGCATATTCACATTTAGAGATAATGAAGAACTTGAAAGAGGACAACCAATATCACCAAAACTCTTGAAAGCAATTGAAGAATCAAGATTTGTGATTGTCATTCTTTCTACAAACTATGCCAATTCAACATGGTGCTTGGATGAGCTTGCAAAGGCTGTTGAATGCATGAAAATGGGACAAACAATACTCCCAGTTTTCCATTATGTGGATCCATCTGAGGTACGGAAACAAACTGGTAGTTTCGAAAAAGCCTTCTTGAAGCATGAAGAAACCTTTAAAGACAAGAAAGAGAAGGTGCAAAGCTGGAGAGATGCACTTATTGCGGTAGCCAATCTTGCTGGATGGCATTTGAAAGATGGGTACGTAAACTATTCTTCTATTAATTAATTTTTCCTGTTTGTACCTGAAAGCTTTTTTGCTTTTTCTTGTTCTAAAAAATAAATTGAAAATAAAAAAATAAAATAATAATAACTGCAGACTCTTCCATACACAAACATCAATAACACATGCACGAAATTCTTTATACTACACACGATGACCAGATATATGATCAACCAGAATTTCAGAAACAATAATCTGGAGTGTACATATATGTGGATGGAAGTGGTAAGTGAACATATATATGGCCATATTATTGATCATGTTTTGATCTTTGTTATTTTTTTTATGAAAACATATTATTCACTATTAATTACTCGTTTAGTGGTTGTACTAAGTACTTTGATGATGTATAGTTTCTTTTTTGTTTTCACTTTTTAATACACAGCTACCTAATGTAAGACAATTTTTTTAAAATAATTGTATCTTGAGTACCTAGCTATCTTTTGTTATCAAAAGCATTCAGAGATCCAAATGAGTTTGTTTAGGGAGCAAATGTAGTACACCAAAAATTAACTGTGTATGGACAAACTTGGTCTTGTTCTAGTGGTATTTCTCTCCTCAATGTTGGTAGAGGTTCTAAGTCATCGAACCATCCCACACCCCCTTGTTCCCAAAATTGATTATAAAAAAAATTAGATGTGTATTCTGACCTCCAATTTTATTTATTTATTTGACTGTAAAGAATGCGTACAAGTCTAACTACTAAATCAACTATTGCAACAGAAGTATAGAGAACAAATTAAACTTCCCAAGCCTTTTGTTATTCCTGGAATGATATAAAGGACTTGATCAATGAAAGTCAATTGTAAACAACTTGAGATGTCAAAGAAGAACTGAGACTTTAAGTAAACTTAAAGATGTCAAGCCTAAGATTAAGATTGTGTAATCAAACAAGCAATGGAGATCACCAAATTGATCCTAACGAGAGATAAATTTGAGAATGCAAGTTGATAGAGTGCTTGGTTGTATAATAATGAAAAGAGTGTTTTAGGGTTCAACCACAAATCTCAGCCATTCATAGTTCTAGAACAAACCTTTTTCGCTGATCGATCCAATGTCACAAGGTCTCTTTGACAATCACTATCTTAGCCTCCCAACTTTTGGACTTGAGATTCCACGAAACATTTATGATTTCCCTCAATTGTCGGTAGGCCTTCAAGCTTTCTATTTCTCATCTCCAGAAGGCATTTAATAATCAATCAACCAGGGAAAGCATTGCCTCAAATCCTGTGGAGCAACCCTCATTAACCATCTTAGCTCATGACATCCTTGGACCAAAGTTATCTAATAGCTACCTTTATGAGAAAAGTTCTATAACCACGGAAAGAAATAGCTCTTCATAATTAAATACTAGTAGTTGTACTCAAACTAATAAAAAGATAAAACCTATGATCCATTTTTAATTTTCCATTATATATATAACTGTTTTGCTTTACCTTCTACATAAATGTTTCATTTATTTATTTGCAGACCTGAATCGGAAGTTGTTGAATTAAGTGGGAGACTAAAGGAAGGAACGTGGAAGACAAGATGGTGCCTTATCTTGTGTCCATTGGTTTGTGTAGGAAATGGAGATAAAGCAAGACATTATAAGATGAGAAAGCAAGTTGAAGTTATGTGTGGTTAATCTCAAGGTGGTCAAGTAGCTGAGATATTGTAGGAATGAGTTTCACTAGAATAAACCAAACAATTTTAAGTGAATCCAAGGATTTAGTTGCGATGGATTCTCGTATAGAAGAACTGCTTTCTTTCTTAGAGATAGGATTGCTTGATGTTCGTATCATAGGGATTTGGGGGATGAAGGGAATTGGCAAGACAACTCTTGCACGAGTAGTTGCTAAAAGAATACGTGCTCGGTTTGAAGGTTACAGCTATCTAGCCAATGTTAGAGAGGCAACTGAAAAGCAAGGTCTAGAACATTTACAAGAGCAACTTCTTTCAGACTTGCTGAAAAGCAATGTAAAGATACAAAATATTGATATGGAAGATGTGATAGGGCATAGACTACGTAATAAAAAGGCTCTTATTATTGTTGATGATGTGGATGAGGTTGAGCAAGTGGAAGCACTATGTGATCGGACTTGGTTTGGTCCAGGGAGTAGAATCATCATAACATCAACAGATGAACATGTGCTACGCAGATATGTGGACAAAATATATCAGGTTAAGCTGTTAACTAATGATGAAGCTCTTCAGCTCTTTAGTTGGAAATCCTTTCAAAAACATCAGGTTGAGGAAAGCTTTCTCAAGCTATCCAAGGACTTTTTAACATATGCTAAGGGCCTTCCATTAGCTATTAAAGTTTTGGGTTCATTCCTTTGCAATAGGCCACAAAGCGCATGGTCAAGTGCATTGGATAGACTAAAAGAAAATCCTGAGAAAAAAATCGTTGATGTCCTTAAAGTGAGTTTTGATGGATTATCATTAGAAACAGAAAAAAAAGTTTTTTTGGACATTGCCTGCTTCTTTAAGGGTGAGAACAAAGATCGTGTAATAAGAATATTAGAAACTGGTTGTGGCTACCGTCCGGAAATTGATATAGACGTTCTCGTGGAAAAATCTCTAGTAACTCTATTTGGAAGAAATTTGTGGATGCATGATTTGATACAAGAATTGGGTTGGGAAATTGTTCGTCGAGAATGTCGTGAGAGGCCCGGAGAACGTAGCAGGTTGTGGCTTTCCAAGGATATCATCCCTGTACTTGCAAATAATAAGGTAAGAAGTCAAATGAGTACACACATAGACTCTAAGATTGTTAAAATGTATTTATTAAATCTCCTTTGTATTTTGCTATAACTTGTGCAGCAACTTATTCTTGGTTCTTCTTTATTAGGGAACCAGCGCAATAGAAAGTTTAAGTACCTCAATTCTTGTGAGTAAGGAAATCAAAATGTTGCGGTATGAAACAGCACGGATATAACAATACCTTCAACTAAATTATATTGCTCAATTATTTGGTGATAATAATTTTATTATTTGCTTCCTACCCCATAGATTGTTTCTGTTAGTTTATTACTCTCTCTCTCTCTCTCTCTCGCCCTCCTATTAAGTGGTATTTGTTCTCTTAATCAAGGAAAGATTTAGTAATTGAATTCAACAATTGAAGGAAAGACAAAGATCATGCATAATACTTCCAATTGAATTCAACAATAGAAATTGGTGTGAGAGTTGTCATCTATAAATCCCTTCATTTTGTGATATACTAATTTGAATTTTGAATCACATCATCCCTATGAAGTTACATGAACTAAACAAGACAGAAGAAAACCAAATATAGTTTTACAAGGACAATCAACATTACATAATAACGTTAAAAATAGAAAAATAAACCAGATCGAGCTACACAAAACAAACAACAAATAGCTCAAAAGAACTGCACAACCTTAGCCACAACAAACCAAAGCAAAACGCAAAAGCCCAAGAAAGCTTCAAGTTCCAGAAAAACTGAAACAGATCGTTGGACTTTACTCTTGCCTATGTCCATGTTTCTCTGTGGTTTGTTAGTTCTTTTCCTCTGACCAAAAGTACAGAAAATAACACTATACCATTAACCCAATAGGAAAAAACGCTTGACTGGAAACCTCAAGGCTTATTCTTATTAATTTCTCAATCACTTTTGTTTTTCAAATTATATCAGTGCTGGAGCATGCTTCAATTCATTGATCTAAGTGATTCGCAATATTTGATCATGACCCCAAACTTCAAAGAGGTTCCAAATCTTGAGACACTGGTGCTTCAAGGTTGTACAAGATTGGTTGCGGTTCATCCGTCCGTTGGACTTCTTAAAAAACTTACTTTGCTGAATATGAGATACTGCAAATCTGTTGAGAGCCTTCCGCCTTTCATTAGCTTGGAATCTCTTAAAAGTCTCACTCTGTCCGCCTGTTCAAGCCTCAAGAAGTTTCCCGACATTGAAGGAAATATGGAAAGCTTATTGGAGCTTAATCTAGATGGGACTGCCATAGAAGAATTACCTCCATCATTTGGACTTTTGACTGGTCTTACTTGTTTGAATTTAGGCGACTGCAAGGACCTTTTGTATCTTCCTAGTAGCATTCAATATTTGAGATCTCTGAAAAGTCTCATTCTAGCAGGTTGCTCAAAACTTGATGGCATACCTGAGAATCTTAATTGGTTTGAATTTCTGGAGATGCTTGATCTAAGTGGAACTGCTTTAAGCCAAACATCATCCTTTGCAGGTATAAACAGTCATTGTCGATTGTTCGACATTAGCCTTTAATTTTTGGTGGTGGGGTGGAAGGGATCATTCATGTATGTTCCCATAAATTTATTGCTTGCCTAATAATGTGCCTACTTTATTCTCAGGTTTAAGTTCTTTGAAAAATCTAAACTTAAGTGACTGCAATTTGATAGAGGGAGCACTTCTTAATGGTCTTGCAAGCTTATACTCCTTAGAAATATTAAATTTAAGTGGTAATAAGTTTGTTCAGCTACCTCAAAGCTTCTCTCAACTCTCAAAGCTTAAACATCTGGACGTGAGCAATTGTGGCAGGCTTCAATTGATGCCTAAGGAACTTCCATCAAGTCTTCAACATGTGAGTGCCCAGGATTGCACATCATTAATAGACTCCCCAAATGAGTTCAAAATGTGGGCTTCACCTGTCTCAGGAACAACTACTTTCAATTGCTTCAATTCTTCCCAGAATCAAGAACTTTCCACCTTGAATTATATACTGTGGGCTGTAAAATCACGGAGGCACATTGGTGGTGACAAGAGATTGGTGTTTTGTGGGAAGCAAGCATTGTCCAAATCAATCAATTGTTTCCTACGTTATAGTTTAAAGGAATGTACAACTTGTATTGTATAAGTGACATGTGACCCTTCATATCCATTTCTCATTGTCACTTTCATTTTGATTCGTTCATACCTGATGGGAAACTAGGTTGAAAAGCCATTAATTAACACGACTAGATAGACCAAAAATAGCTAGTATTTATAGATGACATTTGTGCCCCAAAAAACCTAACACGAAGGAAAACAAGTGTCGGAAAAAAAAAATCGTCTTTATCGGACTAATGGTTTGATTTGGTAAGGAATATAAATTAGGGAGATTTACTATTATACCTAATATAGGAACTCAAATTATAAATAAAAAAAACATCATATGAAATGGATTTTAGAAACATACTCAAATCTCATTTACAATATAACAAAAAGACTTTTAATTTTTTTTAAATTACAAAACTGGCATTGATTTCTTAAAACAGACTCAACCCAAAAACCTCATAAAAAAACCCAAAATACTCTGAATCAGATTGATTCAAATTCAGAAACTTTTTACTTATATCATTGCACATTGGGGACTGAGGAATTTACAATGGAACCAGACCTCCTTGCCTCTGCCCAATTGTTTCGCAAGTTCATTACATTTAAACCTCGGCTTTTTTGTGTGGTTTATGTACCTTGTCTGCACATTTCAGAGATGTTAAATAAATCGGGTGTGTTGTGGGCTTCATTTAGAAGCGCTATACCATACATAAAGGTCCATAAGTGTGGGATTCGTCTACTATACAAGCAAGATGTTCCAGGGTTTATCGAAACATTCATGCAGTATTTTGAATCATTTTTTGGGTCTTTTTTGGGATTTGTTTATAGAAATTAAATGGTGTAGGGTTTATTTATAGTTTTAGTGCTAAGAATGGGTATATGACTAAATATCTCTATAAATTATTGTTTTGTATTTTTAAAAATTGGATCATAACAAATAAACTCGGTGAAAATTTGGGTTGAATATCATCAGTCAACACATTAGTAATCATTGCCAAACCTACTCTATAATAAAAAATACTTTTATTAGAAGCGCTTATGAGCAGAAGTGATTCTTAAAAAAGCAGTTTCAAACAAGTAATTAAGAATATATATCTATGAATCTAAAAATCTAATGGACAAATTCTGGAGATGGTAGAATTTAATTTTCTGAGAAGTACATTACTTCTTAATTTAAACTTGTTCATCATTGATGTGACATAGTATTCATTCTATAACTTCGTGCTTTGAATTTTTCTCTTGTATATTTGATTGCAGGGGGAGATCAGTTCCAACTTCTGAAGAAAGCTCTGTAATTCTGCTGAGAAAGAACAATGTTCAAACACTTATTGAGGTCTGTCTCTGTCTCTGTCTCTGTCTCTGTCTCTGTCTCTGTCTCTCTCTCTGTGAAATTAGACTCATTATTTCATCTTCAATTTCCTGCAGGAGACCCATAAGTGTCAATTCTACTATTTTTACCTAAGTGGGATCCCAGCGTGGTTCCATCCTGAAGTGGGGTCCTCTCCGTCAATCAAGCTTCCTGAGAATCTACACAAGAACAAGAACTGGATGGGATTTGCTCTATGCGCGTCACTTGCAGTAGACCGGCGTAAACTAAAACAGCCCTTTAGTTTTTCCTGTCATCTCCAAATCAATAAGTTTTTTGTAGAAGTAGCTACAGTTGTTAACAGAACAGGTCTCTCTAACGGAATATCTGATTATAAAGATGGACTTGTGGTCGCTTACATTCCACGGACACGGTTTCCAGAACACTACTTTATGGGAGCAACTCCAACTAGCATGATCTGGACTTTGTTTAGAACAGATACCCCTTGTATAGAGGTTCAAATCTGTGGATTCCGTATTTTGTACCAGCAAGATTTGTAAAAAAATAAATCATCTATGGTTTGCTAGACTTAAGTATTTTTTGCCGTTAATTTGTTAATGTTTGTGATCTTAATTGTAATGTTTTTTATTCTCAGTTGAATAACTTTATTCAGGGCCTTAAAATTGGGGGGCCAGCAATACAAATCAATACTGACTAATCCGCCGCCCATTCCTTGAAAAAGGCCAAGATCATCATCACATCACACTTTTATAGCACAACATGACTTGCCACTAATGGCACAATCTGCAAGCCACAATCAACGGAAACGAGTAATTAATAATTAGTTTAGGCCACAACACAAGACATTTGAGTGATTTTAGGGTGGGTGCTATATATTTAATAAAGTATTAATAATGATCAATCTAGTTTGAGTAATGATAACATGATAATGATGACATATTTAGACATTCTCCACTCTCAAATTGAAGAAAATAAGGTACGCTACTTATTGCTTCTCATTACTAATAACGCGAAAAGGGTAGATTACTTGGTTAGTTCGAGAACGTTGATCACGTATTTGCCGTTTGACCTAAAAGAAAAAGAAAAAAGATATAAGTATATATAGATTCTAGAGAAGATTTGTGCCTCAAAAAGCAAGATAGTCGGTCATATATATTGTTCACATTGCCATTACGTGGGTTACCATTTTGATGTGGACAAATACGCTACTTATTGCTTCTCATTACTAATAGCGCGAAAAGGGTAGATTACTTGGTTAGTTCGAGAACCAAATCCTTATACGTAGATGAGCTCGCTACTTATTGCTTCTCATTGCCGTTTGACCTAAAAGAAAAAGAAAAAATATATAAGTATATATAGATTCTAGAGAAGATTTGTGCCTCAAAAAGCAAGATAGTCGGTCATATATATTGTTCACATTGCCATTACGTGGGTTACCATTTTGATGTGGACAAAACCTGATCACGTATTTGCCGTATTACAGCATGGCCAACCAACCTTAGGCTGATTAATATTAACTCTCAATCTTCTATCTTCTAGGAAGAATTATAAAAGGAAAATTATACCAATATAAGTTCCCTTTTTTTCATTTAACTGAGGCTAAATTGTAGCAATGGTCCTTGGATTAAGACCAAATTTTACTCTTCGTCTCTTATGTTGCTAAATTGTTACGGTGGTACTTTAATTATGCCTTCACTTTCAGAAATGTTCATTTCTGTCATCTCAGTCAACTTTTCTGTTAAAAATGAGGGCATATTTGTCTTTTCTTGTGCTAGATTGAACAGAGACGCCACTAACATTTTTTTTTTTTCTCTTTCCTTTTTTGCTTTCTTTGCTTTTTTTTTTTAAAAAAAATTTGTTGTTTGGTTTTGTTGGAGGATTTGGGGTCTGAGGTGTGGGTGGGGGAGAGAAATCAAGTTGGGGGAGGGGGGGTGGGGGGAACAAATCTGGGTGTGGGTCTAATGTGTGCTATCGGGTGGGAGGGGGAAGAACAAATCTAGGCGTGGGGGAGGAGAGATCCGATATCCATATTTGAACATTAATACTTTCCCTAGTCCCATTGATTTTGTTGGGTCAATTAAATCTTGTGAGGAACATGGGTCCAATTAATCCTCCAGCTCCAGGCATAAAAATGACGACCAGTTTTAAACAGAGGGAATGACACTTTGATTGCTAAGAAATTTCCCCTGGGAAGAAATCGGGGTGTTGGGGGGTGGGAAGAAGAACTGGGAAGAAATTTCCCCTGGGAATAATGGGGAAGTTGACTGACATAACGAAAATGACGATTTTTGGAAGTGGAGGCATAATTAAAGTACCACCGTAACAATTTAACAATATAAGAGATGAAAAGTAAAGTTTGGTCTTAGTCATTAGACCTTCTAATTGTATTTTTTTTTCCGTCTATTCAAAATTGTTGAAGTTTAACAAGGGTTTAAGTTCAAAGTGCTGACATGGACTTAGTCAAGTTGGCTAGAGTGAATGTGCTCCTCACTCTGCACTAGAGTTCGGATCCCACTTCTTGTAGTTTAGATTAAATTCAAATAAAATATCATTAGTATATGTATGGCTTTCGTCTTCTGTACCAGAAAGATTTAGAAGGGTTTGTTCAGACAATCATCCAGTGCATTTTACGCGGCCCAGATATCCTCGTTGGTTACTATAATAATTTGGTTGTAGCAGATTGGTTAGGTTTGGTTAGATTGCAAAGCTGTAAAGTCGACGACCCTTGAGAGGTAGCAGAAATCAGGCCCTCACCGAAAAAAGGATTTAAGTTTAGAGTTTGAAAATTTATTTTATTTTAAAAAGGAAAATTTAATTGAACCAAAAATGAAAGCAAAATTTTATAAAATGGAATGTAAGTGGATAAAATTGGAGTGGGGAAATCACCGCTCTTTATTTAACCTGTAATTTTACTGTAGTGTGTCCTGGAAAATGGGTGTGAACGCCAAGTGAGAAGATGACAAGAGTTTGAATAATTCTTTGCTAAGAAAAGAGTTTAGAGTAGTGTGTCCGGTAGTTTTAAAAAGGAAAATTTAATCGAACCAAAAATGAAAGCAAAATTTCATTTATTTAACTTGTAATTTTACTGTAGTGTGTCCTGGAAAATGGGTGTGAACGCCAAGTGAGTAGATGACAAGAGTTTGAATAATTCTTTGCTAAGAAAAGCAACACAACGCAAAATTTTCAAAACACAAAATAAAAACAAAAAGTGGCGGGAGAGCGTTACGAGGCACATGGAGTACCTCAATTCCTGTGAGTAAGGAAATCAAAATGTTGCGTTATGAAACAGCACGGATATAACAATACCTTCTACTAAATTATATTGCTTAATTATTTGGTGATAATAATTTTATTATTTGCTCCTACCCATAGATTGTTTCTGTTAGTTTATTACTCTCTCTCTCTCTCTCTCTCTCTCTCTCTCTCTCTCTCTCCTATTAAGTGGTATTTGTTCTCTTAATCAAGGAAAGATTTAGTAATTGAATTCAACAATTGAAGGAAAGACAAAGATCATGCATAATACTTCCAATTGAATTCAACAATAGAAATTGGTGTGAGAGTTGTCATCTATAACTAACTAGCTTCTTACATAAGTTACAAGATGAACATGACCTGATACATTTTGGTTGCTTGCATTACTTACCAATTTGAAGAGCAACAAACAGGTACTTCTGTCTCTTAAATATTACAACAATTTCCATGAAATTTAGGATATATATGAGAATTATGCAGCCATTGGACATCATTTATTTTCTTCGTTAGTATTTCTTTTGTGGTTAAAAGTTCCACTCAATGAAATTAATTTTTTGCAAGACGAGATATGCACGTTCTTTTAGCTCAACTGGTAGAGCATTTCACTTACACATTCATGACATCCTATTACTTAATATGAATGAAGAAAGTCATCATGAATTGAGTAAGTTATAGGAATAGGAGATGAATGAGAATGAGATCAACTACTCCCCTAATCAATCTAATTCTTGATTTTTCAAGCATTGTATCACGGATTTTAATGACACACATAGTTTTTGATTTCTTATATTAGTATACGCAAGAGAATGTGAGAATTGAGAAACCCATTTTTATAAGTAAACATGTATCATGTCAAAAGTAGTACTTTGCAACCCTTTTCTTAATCAAGAAATTTCAAATAAGATTCGGAAATATTTTTGGAAAAAGTTTATGAAGCTCTTTTATTATTTCTTTTCATTATTATACCTATGAAGTTACATGAACTAAACAAGACAGAAGAAAACCAAATATAGTTTTATAAGGACAATCAACATTACATAATAACCTTAAAAATAGAAAAATAAACCAGATCGAGCTACACAAAACAAACAACAAATAGCTCAAAAGAACAGCACAACCTTAGCCACAACAAACCAAAGCAAAACGCAAAAGCCCAAGAAAGCTTCAAGTTCCAGAAAAACTGAAACAGATCGATTTCATGCATGAATATTCCATGCAAACAATTTTACGTTCTTACACAAAATTCTTAACAATGGACTGTCTGGGAAAGTCATCATGAATTGAGTAAGTTATAGGAATAGGAGATGAATGAGAATGAGATCAACTACTCCCCTAATCAATCTAATTCTTGATTTTTCAAGCATTGTATCACGGATTTTAATGACACACATAGTTTTTGATTTCTTATATTAGTATACGCAAGAGAATGTGAGAATTGAGAAACCCATTTTTATAAGTAAACATGTATCATGTCAAAAGTAGTACTTTGCAACCCTTTTCTTAATCAAGAAATTTCAAATAAGATTCGGAAATATTTTTGGAAAAAGTTTATGAAGCTCTTTTATTATTTCTTTTCATTATTATATTTTTATTATTATTTTGGGTTAAAATTCTTTTATCATGTTTGATATATTGAGAACCCACAAAAAAAGAAAAGTAGATAATTATGACATTTGAATTTGGTGGGGAATGGGAAGTTATTATGCAGTGAGACAGAGAGGGTATTTTGGTGATTTCACCAAGTGGGTAGGCCCTCAAACAGCTTTTACCCTCTGTAACAGTGCTGCAAAGCATCTCAAAATCTTCAAAGTAAAAGACCTTTGGTTGTTTTCCCATTTGAAACACTTGACTTGTGCTGCACTGCGTTTGCTTGCCATTATTACTACCAAAACAAGACTTTGGTATCAATCAAGCCTCTGCCAAGCCACCCTTTTTAATAATTTCATTCATTTATTGGTTTTGTTTTGTCGAAACAAAATCAAAGGCGGTTCCTTCACCTTGGTAACTGTTGCTTTGCGCGTTAAAACTGTGGAGAGCGCCACAAAACACAGATACACAGAGAGAAAGATAAGACCTAAAAAGGGTTTCCGGGAAGGCAGAGAGAGAGAGAGAAGATACATTGCTTCCCGCGTTTTCCATGCCTATTTCACTCATTTCTCTCATGCGTGCAAGTTATTCCTAAAATCTAAAATCTAAAATCTAAAACCCAACCCATCTTATTTTCTTGGCCATTAAAACTTTTAATTCTCTTTAAACTTTTCTTCATTCCTCATTCACATTTCACCGCATCTCTCTCTCTCTCTCTCTCTCTCTCTCCTTGATTTTCTTTAGTTCCTTTATTTAATCAAAACCCATCATCTATTTTAGCGATTTTGTTTGTTTCTCTTCTCTATTTGCTCTCAAAGGTTCGAACTTTCTCCTTATCTTGTTCTGGTGTTCTTGTTCATTCTGGCCAGCTAGGTCGGTTTGGAAAAAGCTTAGCAATAAAGTTTGGTGCTTTCCATGCTTTTACATCATGATTTGTGATGGTGAAGTCTTAGAAGTTGATTTTCTTGTATAAAAGTTGGAATTCATTGGTTTTGGTTCAAATCTGCAACTTCATTAATTAGTTTGGCAGCAAATCTGGGATTGAAGATTCCATTTGGGGTGCAATTAATGGTCTTTGTTTGGAAATTAGCACCTGCTTGACAAAAAGCCCATTTCTTGTCTTCGAGTATCATAATTACAAGGGAAAGCAATTTGGCCAAGCTCTGAACTTTGATTTGTGGGTTTTTCTGTTTTCTCGTGTTTAGATCTGAATTGAAGCTATGGGAAGCCATATGAGCAAGAAGAGCTCTGAAACATCATCCTCTGCTATCAATCTCAACACCAATTTGCAATACACAACTGATCAATTAAGCTCATATGAGGCAGCTTGCAAGGTTGATGCAGAATTGCAATCCTTTGATACCAATCTCCAAACCAGAACCAATCAAGTCATCAACACAATTGCAGCAGGAGTTGAAGTTCGAGCTCTCTCATTTGATTCATTGAAGGAAATCACAGAATGCCTGTTGGAGATGAACCAGGAGGTTGTGAAAGTTATCTTGGAGTGCAAGAAAGATATATGGAAAAATCAAGAATTGTTTGAGCTTGTAGAGGAGTACTTTGAAAACAGCTTGCAGACTTTAGATTTCTGTACTGCATTGGAGAAGTGTTTGAAGCGAGCTCGTGATAGCCAATTGCTCATTCTTGTTGCTCTTCAACAGTTTGAGGAGGAAACCGAAATGGGAGGCAGTCGATACACGAGGACTTTGGACGAATTGAAGAATTTCAAGGCTATAGGTGACCCTTTTACTGAAGAGTTCTTCCAAATTTTTCAATCTGTTTACAGGCAACAAATACAAATGCTTGAGAAGTTGCAACTAAGAAAGAACAAGCTCGATAAGAAGCTCAAATACATCCACGCCTGGAGGAAGGTTTCGAGTATTATATTTGTTGCTACATTTGCTGCTGTGTTGATTTGTTCTGTTGTGGCAGCAGCCATGGCTGCTCCACCTGTTGCAGCAGCTCTGGCTGCTGCTAGTTCTATCCCTGTAGGCTCAATGGGGAAGTGGATTGACTCTTTGTGGAAAAACTATGAAAATGCTTTGAGGGGTCAAAAGGAAGTAATTAGCTCAATGCAAGTAGGAACTTATGTTGCCATAAAGGACTTGGACAACATTCGGGTTCTTATCGATCGATTGGAAGTTGAAATTGAGTCCCTCTTGCATGATGCAAGCTTTGCCATTCAGGAGGAAGCAGTTACAGTTGCAATTGAGGAGATTAAAAAGAAGTTGGGAGTGTTTATGAAGAATGTAGAGGATTTGGGAACTCAAGCTGATACCTGCAGCCGTGACATTCGAAGAGCAAGGACTGTGGTTCTGCAGAGGATCATTAAAAATTCCAACAACTAAAAGTCCGATGATCCTCAATATTTAACCTGTTGCTGTTTTGATGCTTGAAGACATTTGAATTTGTGTAACTCTCTGTTTTTTTTTAATTATCATATTTTTTTCATTCTTAGATTGTACCTTGGAATCCCAGACAATTGGATTGATGTATAAAAGAAATAATGTAAGATTATATAGCATTTCAGACTTTATCAATGTTTAGGCAACAACTGACTTGAAGTAGTTCCCATAATGATTTTGTCTTCAATTTAATCATTATTTACTTGATCTGATGAAGTTTGTCTGGTCTGGTCTTTTGTTCCAAACAACCATTGGAGTCTGTCTGGTCTATTGTTCCATAAACTTCCATACCAGTGTGACCTCATGTATTTCAGAATGCGGTGCCTGGAAGATTAGAAGAAATTGCCACTCAGAGGTCTCTTTTCATGATGATTGCTCATATAGCCATCTTTCTTCTGCTTAAATCATGCTTAATTGTTACAAGTTGAGACCTGAAACTTCCAAGTTCCAATATGGGGCTTTTCTGAGTCACGTGAGCAATCAGGTTATGCTTTCTCCTTTTATGGTTGGTTTTCCAAGTGCCTGTATAACTAAACTAACTGTATGTAGTTCTTTTGTATCCATGACTTTTTTCGGGTAACGAGGGAAACCCTTACGACTCATTCATTCCCGCCCAAAAACTTGCAAATCACATGTATCAGGTAAATTTAAGTATTTTTACATGGTCAAGTTCAAGGCAAACATAATCTGTTTGAGTTTACGGTCCAATGCTCACCTCTCTAAGCTACTTGTATGGGTTTGTATGCTCTCTAAGCTACTAAGTTATTATGTTATTTTCTTTTCCCTGCATACTTTTCTATACATACAACCACTTAATTGATAGTTAACTACTCTTACCTCAGCAAATATTTATAATCTGTAAGTAAGAAATCAGTTTGACAACAATCCCTGCTATAAAGAATTCTCATGTCCAAATCATGATGGTGACTACTTAACCTCAGCCAATAATTATAATTAATCTGTAATTCAGAAATAAGTTTACCAGAAAACCATTAATGAACATATGAGAAACTTGCACAAGTGAAGTGCATATATTTTAAAATTGCATATTCCTGACTTCTGAACATATGATGTAGTAATCTAGAACAAAAATGAAAATAAAGGAGGGGAACCTGTCAGTCAGACAACCGTGTGACCATCCGAGCAAGAGAAGAGTGGCTGAGAACGATCCTCTACTAACTGGATGATCCAAGGACCATTAGATTCTTGATCATGCCCCGATCACACGGTCCTGTTTTTGCTGGTTTTGCTGGCTTAGATCCATATTGAAGCTATGGAAGGCCATATGAGCAAGAAGAGCCCTGAAACATCTTCTGCTATCAATCTCGGTACCAATTTACAAGACACAACTGATCAATTGAGCTCAGGTGAGGCAGCTTTCAAGATTGAGGCAGGCTTGCATTCCTTTGATACCAATCAAGTCATCATAGCAACTGCAGGAGGTTGAAGCTCCCTCACTTCGTTCCTTGAAGGAAGCCATAAAATGTCTATTGGAGATGAATCAGGAGGTTGTGAAAACTTGTCTTGGAATGCAAGAAAGACATATGAAAAAAATCAGGAATTGTTTGAGCTTGTTGAAAAGTACTTAGAAAACAGCTTGCGGACCTTAGATTCCTGTACTGCACTGGAGAAATGTCTGAAGCGAGCTCGTGCCAGCCAATCGTTCATTCTTGTTTCTCTTCAACAATTTGAGGAGGAAACCGAAATAGGAGGCAATCGATACCCGAGGACTTTGGAGGAATTGAACAAGTTCAAGGAAATAGGTGATCCTTTTACTAAAGAGTACTTCCAAATTTTTCAATCTGTTTACATGCAACAAACACTAATGCTTGAGAAATTGAAACTTCCGAAGAACAAGCTTGATAAGAAGCACAAAAGCATCCATGCTTGGGGAAAGGTCTCTACTATGATATTTGTGGCTATAATTGCTGCTGTGTGGATTTGTTCAGTTGTTGCAGCAGCCATGGCAGGTCCACCTGTTGCAGCTGCTCTGGCTGCAGTCTATCCCTGTAGCCTCAATGGGGAAGTGGATTGACTCTTTGGAAAACTAAGAAAATGCTGTGAAAGATCAAAAGGAAGTGATTAGCTCGATGCACGTAGGTACTTACGTTGCCATTGAGGAAGGTTGCAATAGAGGAGATTAAAAAGAAGTTGCCTCAACATTTAACAAAACAAAAAAAGAGGGGAAACCTGTCAGACAACCGTGTGACCACCCCAGACAGAGAAGACTGACTGAGAACGATCCTCTACGGTCATGATGATCACAAGGACCCACCAGATTGTTAATCACGCTCTGATCACACGGTCTTATTCATCCACCAGGTTGGGATTCCTGTCTCCTTAGAAATCAAGGATACAGAGGTACGATTACTATAGAACAGATCCTGTCCAAGTAAGGTCGTGACCTCTCAGCGGTCTTCTGGGTATATGAAGCGCTTCGGAATTTTGTAAAATGCCGATGTGGGACTAATAACGAGACTTCTGTCCCTTTGATCTCTCTGGTCTTCTGTTCAATTTTTTAATAGTTGGGGCCCGGAAAAGTGGCTGAGAACGATCCTCTACTAACTGGAAGATCCAAGGACCATTAGATTGTTAATCATGGCCTGATCACTCGGTCCTGTTCCATATTGAAGCTATGGAAGGCCATATGAGCAAGAAGAGCCCTGAAACATAATCTTCTGCTATCATTCTCGGTACCAATTTACAGGACACAACTGAACAATTGAGCTCAGATGAGGCAACTTCCGGAGAACAAGCTTTGATAAGAAGCTCCAGAAGCATTCATGCTTGGAGAAAGGTCTTTAGTATGATATTCGTGGCTATATCTGCTTCTGTGTGGATCTGTTCAGCTGTTGCAGCTGCTCTGGCTGCTGCTAGCTCTATCCCTGTAGCCTCAATGGGGAAGTGGATTGACTCTGTTGAAAAACTATGAAAATTATGTGAAAGTCCAAAAGGAAGTGATTATGAAACTTATGTTTTGCCATTAAGGACTTGGACAAAAATTCGTGTTCATATTGACTGGTTGAAAGTTGACATTGAGTCCCTCTTGCACAGTGCTAGCTTTGCCATTGAGGAAGAAAGTGAAGGTTGCACTAGAGGAGATTAAAAAGTTGGTAGTGTTTATGAAGAATGTGGAGGATTTGGGAGCTCAAGCTGATATTCGAAGAGCAAGAACTGTGTTTCTGCAGTGTGTTAGTTTCTCTTCCCTGCTTACATTTGTTATTGAAAAAACAAAAAAAGGGGAACCTGTCAGACAACCGTGTGACCACCCCAGACAGAGAAGACTGACTGAGAACGATCCTCTACGGTCATGATGATCACAAGTACCACCAGATTGTTAATCACGCTCTGATCACACGGTCATGATTCATCCACCAAGTTGGGATTCCTGTCTCCTTAGAAATCAAGGATACAGAGGTACGATTACTATAGAACAGATCCTGTCCAAGTAAGGTCGTGACCTCTCACCCGTGCTCAAGCTATATAAAGCGCTTTGTTGTTCTCAAAATTGTCGATGTGGGACAAAAAGGATTTAGTGTCTCTCTCTTTTAACGCGAGCAAGAAAGAAAAAATAGCGCGATGCTGGCCCCAGGGCTCCACTAGCTCACATGCATGTTCTCAATTCGGATGGTCCACCTTTGTTTGGGGTTGTTTGGGAGTTTTGTACTAAACTGTGTTTTGGTTTAGTTTTCCATCTCCTCCCTTATTTTGTTTTTTCAGTTGTATGTTTTGTTCCTCTATTTTTGAGGTTGAACGAAATTGAAGTGCTTTGATCCAAAAAAAAAAACTCAAGAAAGAAAAAATATTTACATTTTGATGAATGTTCAAAAACCTCTTTCCATAACTTTATTAATGCGTACATTTATACAGCAAAGCCATCATTATCCTGGAAGTTTTCTATAGGTTAAAATATGATCGATTGTTCTGTGAAGTTTATATTTTTCAACTGCCCATTTAGCCTCTCGAAATCCATGGCTATACTCGTAAGAGGAATGCATATCCACCATATACTTGTATGTTTCAATTAGGTTTCTCTGAAACGGAGTATGCTCTGTAGTCGCTGATGAGGTCTTGCGATCCTGGGCCTCCAACCACTCCAACCATTTTCGACCTATCACTTGGCACATTCCTTCTTCCACTTTTAGTTCCAGTTGGTCTGTTCTAATACCCATTTACAAAGACATAGCAACGAAAAAAACCAAGAATATTAATTCCTCATTTATTATTTAGGGTTTAGGATAACTTTTGGATTTGTATTACGAAGTCTTTGATGCCATGGTCACGCCGTCATATGGTGTTACCATTCAGGGCCGGCCCTTGCCCAGGGCAACCAGGGCCACCGCCCGGGGCCCACGATTGAGAAGGGCACAAAAAAAATTTATATTAGCTTATATATATGTATATGATCAGACAAAAAAATATATATGTATATGCAAAACAAAATTATAAGTGCTCATAAAAAAATAAAATAACTAAAAGTAATGGGTATGGCTAATTATACTACATAAATTAGTAACACCACGTGACGGTGTAACGGTATTACCTTATTAAAATTTGTCAAAGTAAAGTGGATATGATAAAACAAGTGTAGGAAACCCAAACGTATATTGTTTAACTAACCGACTTTATCGTTCTTACTATAATTAAATACTTGTCGAGATAATCACCTCTTATTAGTCGAAACCATTCATGCATCATCTCATGAGCCAAGATTGCACCAGTCATAACCCTGCATGTTGATTTGAGTTCAAACTTGTAAACAAAATTAGAGTTTATAGAAGTGGTCAATTAGGGTTTGCAAACCAGCTCCTCCTCTCCCAGAAAGTCTTGCCATCTCAAATTCATCCACCATGGAAACATGAAAGTCGTGCTTGCCAATTTGAATTTGTAGTCCATTGTTGAAGAATTCAAGGCATATATCCACAAGAGGTTCACATTGTTGGGTAGTAAAGATTGCCGTGGAATAGCATTCATCGCAAATAAGCCGACCATCACCAAGGTTTATATATGTTACATCTTTGGTCTGCACTAAACAAATGAATTAATTTCATTGTCCAATATGATTAAGTTTTTTTTATTTTATAATTTATTTAAATAGGGGTATAATTGAATTTTTGTCAAAAAGTATTTTTTTTCCTTTAGATTGAGTAGTTTACTCTCACATTAAATTGAGAATATTTGGTATTTTTGTTGGCTTATTCTCACATTAAATTGAGAATTCTACTTACAAAAAATTATAGGAAATTTTAACTAGTAGTCAAATTTGGACTTGATAAAGATTTTCAGCCCTTTTTTTTCTTCATACTTTTAGAATTTCGACCACTCGATGGGCTCGAATACCGTTTGAGAGGGTTTTCGAGAGGGCTCAAGCAGTACTTGAGAAGCCTTCAGTGACTATATTTCTAAATATTGAGAAAAAGAGGCTAAAAGTCTATGAAGTTTTGGTAATATAATCAACATTTTAAATTGAAAATGTAGGTATTATGGAATCTTTGATTTGGTATATGCTGTACCAAAACTTATATTAATTAGTCCCTTAATTTGCATTTCGAATAAAAGGTGATGATTTGGCAAACCTTGAGCCTCCTGTAGCTACAGCATTCCGGAGTCCCGTCTTGTAGATGAGCAGGACAAACTTTTTGGTTCCATATTTCAGAGCATACCGGAGTTTGATCAGGTGGATGAGTGCTCTTGATCTGTTGAAACTATTTTTAAGATAAAAGACATAGAACAATCGCTAATTAAGGTAATTAAATGTAAAGAATGGTTTACATTTCTTAGATTTCATTTGCATGTTAATTCAGCCTGGATTATTAATTAAATGCAATAAGATTTAATCCTCTTCTCAATTTATGGATTCCCAATTCAACTTTCAGCTATAAATCATATAACTGATAAGTTGAAATAACACGGCTACTTCAATTTTTTCTTTTTGTCAAATTGTCTAACAAGATAAGATGTTTATATAATTGGAGTATGAATCTGGACCATTGATCAAGTTAATTTTGTACAAAATTTATGGCTGAAATTCAGTGTGACAAGAGAAGATTATCGTTTCATAGATTAATCCCGCCTTAATATTTTAAGAATAGGGTCATTTTAGTTACTTACTATTGCATCACAAACGTCACAAACCCTTTGCTTCTGACGACTAGAGCTGGAACAAGATAAAGAAAATAATGTCAATCTTATGTGAAGATCTAAAGTTCTGTTAATTCAAGTCCAGAGTCTATTTTAAATTAAGGAAAATTAAGGACGGTTTAGAATGTGTAATAATCATATAATGATTATACATTATCTACAAATAAGATGGGTTTGTGAGTAATTAACATATCCAGTTTCATGGCTGCATTTTACCTGCTGCCTCCTGGAGATCTAAGGCTTGCCTTAATATAGCTTCAGCAAGGTCTCCGTCCTCATCGTAAGAAGATTCATTCTCTGAATAAATAAATAATAATACATTTGTAAGTTTTAGATTTAACCACTAACAACTTAAGAAGTGTTTCACTAAAATCATACCAATTAAAATATCATACAAGTTCTCAAGAAGTATTTCACTAAAATCATACAAACTTCTTTTTCTCCCTTTTTTCACTGGGATTATTATTATTTTCTTGTTGATTTGAATGGTTAATGTCTTTTTATTGGCTTAGTTAATTAATTTGGGTCTAATCCCAAACTGATCATTAGCTTGACCAATTCAACCTAAGGGCCGTTTTATAATCATTTTAATTTTAATTTTTAGTTTTCATTTTTTGTGTTAAGAGTATAGAGGAAAAAGAGGGAGAATAGAAGTGAGAATGAGAGTGGGGATGGGATTGAGAGGGAAGATGAGAGGAGATGATGGGAGGGATGAGTAACAAAAGTGAAAACAAAAACTAAAAACTGAAATCTATTTCACTTTCAAGATTTTGTTTTCATTTTTGTTACTCCTCCCTCTCATCCTCTCTCTCAATCTCATCCTCACTCCTTTTCTCACTCTCATTTTCCTCTATAATCTAGCACAAAAAATGAAAACTAAAAACTAAAATTGAAATGATTATCAAACGGGCTCTAAATTTCTGATTTTGGACTCAAATTTTTTCTGTTTCTTGAACCAACTCTATACGTTTGGTGCAAGAGCTGAGCCCAAACCCAACCCAATTCAATTTGTAAAAGACTTTTATTTTTAGTACATGTGATAGTCTAAATTACGGGAGAGAAGGATTTCTCACACACATAATCACAATACGAACTTGAGACCACTAATAGTCAAGATCATTTTTCATTGGGCTAGACTCTGTTGGCCTTGTGAAATACTTTTTTTTAATTCTTTTACTATAATTATTCAAAGGAGGGGAGGGCAAGCACCAACCTTTTACCATGAAAATGGGGTGAAAAAATGGGTAAAATGCTAGCCAGATCATAAAGGTTGAAATATTTAATCATTTGAGCCAAAAGCCCCACAAAGAGGTAACCTATTTTGTATACCAATTGATCAATTGAAAAACATCACCTGTTAATCGTTGCTTCAGGGAAAAATTTGTTTGTCGGGTAAGGGATATTAGGCATACTCACCGTTTTTATTTTTCCCTTTTCGACATAGATCCAAGAGAGAAAGCCGCATGGCACGCTCTATATCATCAATTTCATGTTGAGACATTGTATCCTGTATTTTCTCCAATACAAAATGTTAATGGAGACACATAAAATATATAAAATCACAAGAAGGAAGTAAAGGAAAAGAAATTTATAGAATACTCATGCAGAGGCGTACATGTAGGTTTTTTTTTTAATCAATGCGGGTGAGTGATTCGAACTTCAGACCTTTTTCAATATTAGAAAAGAAAATATCATTAGACCAATAGCTAGTTAAAATGATAAGGCGTATGTGTAGATTAGATTAGGGAAAATAAGCATGTTGAATTATTCATGAAGAGTTAAGAAAACAAAGAGTGAAAATCCACGTCATAAAGAGGCAAAATTCCCAATCATGCACAAATATTCACACTTTCAGGTTTGCGTGCTACTTATTTAAAATAGAAACTTGCTACTCATTAAGCCAAGAGTGTGGACATTTAATTAATTTCCTTTTTGTTCTGTTTTCAAGAGCTATAATCCTTCATAATTTCATGATTATAATTTATAATGGGACAATATACTTTGCAGAGTAAATCACCCTTTTATATACAATTTTTGAATAGAATCGAAACTTCGCGGTGGTGGAATTTAACAGTAATGCATCCAATATGAAAAGTGAAGGAAATTATTTCTGGCATTCTAAAACTGTAGAATTATTTGTATCATAAACTGTTCCTCAATTATGAAAATTTTGTTGTGAATGTATGGGATTGAGACCCACTTAAGAATTACAACCATTAAAGCTCAAACCTAGAATCTGTTGACACTCCCTGAATACTAAGATGATTTGCACTTAAACAAAGCTTTCACAAGGCTAACAAGTGGCAACGGTCGAATATTGAAAATGGTTGCGGCCGTGAGATACGCACATGCCAAAGATACATATATTTTAAACCAGATGGACGAGAAAATGGTTAAGTAAGCGCATGTTCCGGTCAAGACAATTACTGCTACAAGATTTACAAGGCACCTCAGAGTAGAAAGGTCACCTTCTGATCCTTCATGGGGAAAATGGCCTTGAGAATCAAAATCGGAAAGCAACTGGTCCTTGAGATGAAATCTGTTCATTAACCAAGTTGTAATCTCGTCTTCAGATGTTGGAATATTGTCTAGGGGGATACGCTGGACGTGCATATGAACTTCAGAAGGGTTCACACCGGAGGCATTGTCAAAGAAAGTTGGGCAGCTAGGCTTGTAGCCAATAGTCACATCATAAACTGAAGTAAACAGAAAGACCAAATACACTGTAAGATGACGAGTAAAAAATAACACAATCATCTGAAAGACATGGTTAGAATATCAAACCACCTCAATTCTATATGGTCCTATAACCTTTCATTTTCAAGTGAATATGTTAAACTACTTCTTACTTGACCATAAATAAACAAAATGAAAGGGAGACCAAAATGGTTGACATATAAATTTTTGAGTAATCAAAGGCAAACACAAAGCAATGAAGCAGCAACTCAAGCATTCCAAGCACAGATGTTGCTCCCTATTTCAATTACAAATAATATTCGAACACAAAACCATGAAGTCATTGCAAAAGATGAGCACAATCTTCAATAAATTTGATCAGATGTAATCGTGATGGAAAAAGTGAAAGGGGCAAGTTAGATACATTGGCTGCTGAAGCACAATAAGGACACTCAACACTATCTAATCCAAAGGTTTAATCCAACAAAGCCATCACCTTGAAACAAGTGCTAACAATAAGAATGTGTGGTGGTGTCACAATTTATACAAATAATCTTCCTACAAAAGAAACAGATTAGCATTGGATTTGTATAAGGGCCCATACATTCAAAGCTAAAAGTTGAACTCATTTGGAAAGAAGACAAGCTAGTCCATATATTATCAAATTCTTGTTAATAAATCCAACAAATTGTAATCGACAAGATTGGCATCGTTCGGATATTCTACAGCACTGGTAAGAGTTTCAGAATTCTTTCTCTGCACAGACCGACAACAAAATCCAGATATTTAAATACTTGCTTAGGTCTTTACATTAATAAGAAAGCAAGGCCCTAAATGAATAACGAAGTACTGACATATGAAGTGCCAAGTTCAGAATTTCTACAAACAGTCAAAATCCATTTGAGCCTACAAGCTTATGCAAGCAATGCAAGGTTTGGTTTCATCCTGAAAGTCGAAGGCTTATTCTTTGAATACATTAGCAACGGAAACCAGAAAAGAAAAAAAATCAGAAACAGAGGCAGGAACTTTTATAAGTCAGATAAAACTGAACCAAAAACTTTGATATTTCAAAAAATTTAAAAATCCTCATTAATCCTCATTGGGAACTATTGCCCATAAGTCAAATAATTAATATTGTTAGATGAAGATCAGCCAATTTGCAAAGGTAGAGCCAATTCAAGACAATTCAGTCACCATGCAAGAAAGGATGTTTTGCATTTCAAATTGTAAAGAAAAAAGCGGAACTCATTCAAATAAAGAGTAAACCTCCAAAATAACAGGTAAATAAGGCAACCTGCATCCAAAGATCCCCTCAATTCTTCTAAACAGGCACTGAAACCCTTTGTTTTTGGAAGCAAGACATGCTTTAGAACTGGTAAGCCATTTTCCGCAGCATATTTCTGACTACGTATGCACTTCTCCTCACTGCATAAAATAGTCGGGGGAAGAAATGATTCAATACATTATTAGGATAAAAAGTGTTAGACGAGAACCAATATATTCAAAATGAAGGTGATATTGCATACCCTTGGATTATACCAACTCTACAATAAAAATTGAAAGCAACAACAGTTCAAGAAATTACGTGAAATCTGTTCCTTCTGGGAAAAGTGCAAGCCAGAGGGAATCTTGGGGATCCTTCAGACTTGAAAGCATTCGGCGCATGTTTAATTCATCGACCTCCCACTTCCTCTCCACAGAGATGAACTCCAATATGTGAAATGACCAACCAAATAAAGGCAGTTTCATTAAACTGCTTTTAAGGATATACTTTATGTATCCCTGGCGTCCCTTTCGCAATGCCAAGTCCCACAAGTACATCCAGTCAACCTCAGTTCTATGGTTTGAAATAAGTAAAATGCGTTCACCGTCAGGAACAGTTTCTCCAGAAAATATAACTTTTGTATTGTTTATCTTTTCAAAAAGAAAAGGCCACAAAGCTATCCAAGCACCAAAGAAGAAGGAAGTTACTCTTCTACTGTAATGTGTGCTGAAAAGTCTAATTATAACAGCACCCAAAATGCCAAAATACACTAACATCATAAATGCAGTCGAAACAAGTACAAGTAAGCACACAACACCTCTAATTGCTCTAAGTGGAGTTAAAGGAAGGTGCTTCATTGCATCATTCGAAGGTTTTTGAACTTCCATGTGTACTCAAACAGTCAAATCCAATCACAACTCCTAAATGGGAGTTGCACTTCTTCCCTTATGTACCCACTTACAGTGATCCTAATGGGATGATGAGGTCCCAACCCCAAAAGGTCACTATTGCAATAAATTAAGCGGATGTGAAGAAGCTCCTAGGCTCTTAGCAGAGTAGTGAAGGCATTATGTTCTTGGCTTCAAGAAATGACTCCTACGGAATCTAGTAGCCACGCTGACCATTAGCAACTACCTTCGGATAGGCTGCACAAGGAAAGTCAGGAAGGTACTCAGCAATGTCATGTTTCATGGAACAAAAAATTAGTGTAGTGAGGGATGAAACATTGTTAAATGCAGTATGCAAAGGTAACAGGTGGCAGGGAAAAAAAGTACCCTCAGAAATTCAATTGCATACAACAGCAGAGAGGAAAAGACAGTTTACAAGATAGCGCAACAGTTATAATTGGTAAAATCAATATTTCACTACCAGGTAAAAGCTGAACAAATAGCTAATTCCTGCATAAAGCATCCAACAGGATTGGTATGTTGGGTAAAGCATGCCTCGGAAAAAAGGTCGAAACTGTCGAGCCAGGTCATGAAAGCAGGTAGGCTATTCACAGTTTACCTTTCGGGGCAAACTTCTATTTGCAGTTCAACCACTCATGTGGACATAAAGATAAAACTAAGGACAACTCCACACCTCTGATTTTTTGCTCATTAGTTCTGCCATTTGCCAGATTAGAATCAGGATCAGGTCATAAGAGAAAAATTAATTAACTCAGATGGAAAATCATTGATTCCAAGTGAGTGAGCAGATCTCATCATTCATCATACGAACCTAATTTGTTGATCTAATTACTTTGCAAGTAACTCGAGTTTTAATTTATGCCAAAAATCAAGTGAACACTCAACGCTGAGGATAAGCATGACTTCAAAACCTCATAAACAAAAATCAATAGATCCAAAACTGACTTCTTCTACCAAATCTGTTCTGACTCTTCTCAAACAGAAATGAAAATGAGAGTTTCGCCAAAACTACCGTACCGTAACTCGTTTGATTGCAGAGAAAACCGAGGAAAATCCAATGAATATCATTTCACTGTTGATTAGATTTCCAAAATGAAGTGATAGATGAAAAATCACAAGCGCAGACAGCTTAGCGTTTCAGAGAAACTAGGAAATGAGATCGTGCAGTTTTCCGAGAGTATTTAAAACTTTCTCGGAGTTTCGAGGCAACCAAACGGCACTCTATAAACATAAAATAATGTAAAAATCAAAGACTAGGGGTGATTGTTGTACCTGGTTGCGGTAGGCGACAGCTCCTGGACTGCAGTTTCGTAGATATCTTGTGGGAGCTACGAGAGGGAGGAGACTAGTTGAGAGTGTCGAAGGGGATAGGAAAAGAGGCTCGTAAGTTTCTTAAATTACGGAATCTGCCACGGGCCCCGTGCTGCTGACTTCAGATCCTCTGGCCCCAATTTCTCTGTACTGTACCCTCCCTGTCTCCTAGCTAATTCCTGGACACTTTTAACTCTAACTTAACACTGTTAAGTAAAAAAAAATAGAAAACAGAAAATAAGAAAAGGAAGAGTTCGAGCAGTGAGTCAATCGGCCAAGATTCCCCTCCTCCGCCGGCTCCTCCTCCTCCTCCTCCTATCTCTCTCTGTCTCCCACCACTATATAGTCCAAAGTTGGAATAATTTGGGGATAAGTTTCCTGGGAAATTCAATTGATGCAGAAAACTATATACCCAGACAAAAGTATATAGTTTTCTACGGATTGGGTCTTGGATGACTCCGGTTGTCTGGGTTGTTTGGGAGGTGGAGAAGACGAACCGTGAAGAACAG